TCGTCTAAATTTAAACAGCATTTAGCATTATAAAAGCGTTGATTAAGAATTCTTTAAATCGATAGTTCTCAACCTCTAGACTGCACTGAGAGAAAAATTGAATTTGTAATTTACCATAAGTAGTAGTAAAAACAGTTAAGTTATTGATACCCTGATATTGCTCTAAGAAATACCGACAAAAAATGTAAATTATACCACTACAAAACGGTGACATGCGAAGTAGTTCTGTATGACAGTGTCGTGGTAAAACACACCCACGCTTTTGTCAAAATCCGAGAAAATCTGAATAGTCGAATATTTGTTATTTATTAATACGTACTGAAATCGATGGTGTATTTTACCACGACAAAGGGTAAACATTTTGATTCGTCGCCAGCTTTTAATAAAAGGCTTTTATAGCATATCAGTATAACTGTAATTAAGCTAGATTGTTAAATAAAATGGTTTAACTAATGGTTTTTATGATTAATATAATGTATAATTTTGTTGCTCTTGTGTTTACATCAAAAGTAAAAAAATGTTTAAATTTAAATTAAAGGCGGCAAATAAATCAAAGATTCTGACCGTTAGAATTATACGAGACCTTGCTGTCACCAAGTTGTGTCAAGTTGTTATTTTTTTATGTGTGGTGTGAATTGCAGCATAGATTTTTAGAGTAAAATAGTGTTTACCATGGAATTAAATGTAAGTTATTTATTCACATCATAATAAATTGGTGATGGGATGATTGTTTTGATTTTAATTAGATGGAACAATATTTAACGGCATGGGGGATGGAAACTTTAATACAGACGTTTCGTGGTAAGCTTATTAGGACCTATGGGTTTTAAGTATAATATAATATAGTATAACATTATTGTCCCTAATTATCTTATAGCTCCCCGTATTATGACTCGGGGGTTTAATAGTGCACCCAGGTACCTGGGTACAAGAGTCGAATATGTCCAGTAAGTCCAAACCTAGTTGTTGTTTCAGCATGGTTTGCATACCTAGTTGAAGGCATAATTTTAATTTTTCCTGCATGCATAGGCCCTTAGGGTGAGTAACCCGAGTTGCTCACCCTAAGGGTATACCCTATAGAAACAAGCATTACATATTGGTGTCACCAAACATATATGTAGAGTATACTCTTATTTTTTAAGGTAAAACTTTTTGACTGACTTGCATCTCTTTTAAGATACAGCATGTCAAAATTTAAAAAAAAACAAGTTTTTATTAATTTTTCGCCGGTTTTAATAACACTTAAAAAGTGTATTAGCAGTAATAAGGGTCATCTTTTGTTGTAACTAGATTTAAATAAATAGTTTCAGTGGCGCGCTATGGCGACAAAGGGTTACCTAATTAATAGTTATGGTAAAAATATTGTACCCCACTGTTTTTTTTAAGTTTGATAGCTTCTTTAGATTAAATAATTAAAAATATAACTGTTCCTAGTGTTTTTTTAATGTTGCTTAGGTTGCGAGAAAAAAATTAAAATTTTGTTTTTATGGATCTGCCCCATGGGATGAGCTAGAAAAAAATGTTTGTTGTTTTTTTCTTTAAACTAAGCATAATTTAAAAAAAGGGAACAAAGAAGTTATATTTTTAATTGTTTGATGTAAAAAGGATAAAATAAGAAAACAGTGGTAAACAATAGTAAAAATTGATTTTTTTAAACTTTAACACGCTGTTATACTTTCATGTCATTATTATTTATTATTTTTTTTTTGTTTTTATATTTTATTATCAGTCTTCTGAGATACTGTTACAAGAAGCTGAAATTCCAGAAGTGTACAGTGAGAATACCTATTAGTATTCAATCACTAGAATTCCAAGCCCTTACTCCTACTTCAAGTACTTCTACTAATTTCAATTTCAAAAATACTTAATATTTCACACACAATATTTTCATATACATTGGCGACTTTTATTTTATTTATAACATGAGTTTTTATAGACACCTTTAAATATTTGCATGTCATTAAGGAAAAACCTGTATAACATACTATATACAACCTACTGTAGGTAATTTGTTCTTATATTTTTGTAAAAAAAAATTGTATTTTTTTTTAAAATAAATAAATTTTAAAATATTACTTACACACAGTTTATTACTCAATATTCCTTTAGAAAAAAATACTCAATGGTAAGTAAAAGTATATTAATTAACTATCAAAATAATTAATACTTTGATAACAATGTTATGGGTCTGCAGTGCCATCGAATATAAAGGGATGGAGAAAGGTTGGAGAAACACAATACAAAACATTTAATTGAACTCTGGAGTGCACTGTAAACTAAAAGAATTTACTTATTTACTTGAATCAAACTCGAGTGGTGCATTGTTTTTTACCCCCATCGAAAGTTTTTAAGTATGTTAATAATTTGTAACTTGATTACTGTTTTGTAAACACTTTAAGAATAAACAAAGAAAATTCCTGTTTATATTATGTATATTGTTGTATACAAATTCTATGTAGGTATTTCTAAAACGCAACTGCATAGACTATGTGAGTTAATACAATTTTAATTATGCTTTTAAAAGTATCTAATTATTGAACAAGCATCCTGATTTTCCAACGTTGTTTTGGGCTTCACTCCTGCCCAAACAAACTCGATTAAAAGCTGCCATCGAAAGTTAATTGATAATCAAGTCAAAAGTTTGTGGGGACGAGCCTAGTCGTCGTCGTTGGCCGTCGCGGCGCTATCAAATTTACTTAAAATAAAGGAAATTGGCCTTTTGAAAATCCCTTAAATTAATTCGCATTTCCAATTCAACAGTCAGAAAAATGTACTATGCTCCACACCTCAAAGTCCCACCACGTGACCACGTACGGAACGCAGTCTTTTGAAAATTTGGCATTTAAGGCTTTTCAGGTTATGTATCTGTCAAAGTATAGTCAACGAAAGAAATAATATTATGTTTAGGCGTTAAAAATGTATAAATCTTTATAACATTACAATAACAATGGGTTAATATATTATAACAAAAATATAATTTAATTATATATATATAAGTATTTAAAAGACTGTATAATATGGTATTTAAAAATGGTAGTAGTTTTTCGTATCCAGCTTAAAGTGTACCTTCATAAAGTTTTGTCAATACAAATAGTTAAAAAGCTTCGACTGAATTTGATCTACATCAAAAAATCATTATAACTTTAAAAATTTTAATAAATCGCATGTCATGGGAGTATTAAATATTTTCACATTGCAAGTTTCTCTAAAAATTGTTTGTTTTCTTATAATCTAACTTAAAGTAAGTATGCCGAGAGGTATGCACAAGTTTTGTCGTTAGAAGTATAAAAGCTTCAATTTAATTTTAACCATATTCAAAAATTATTTAGTATACCTATATTTATTTATGACCATATTAACACACTCTTCCAAATAATCCACTTATTTATTTTGGTAAAAATAGATTTTTCTAACCTTAAAATACAAAATTAGATGATATTTTTTGTTCTTTAACCTACCTTTGATACAGATATTCTTATTTCATAATAGAGAAGTGAGATTTTTTCTAATAAATGCTGTTTAGTTAAAACTATTTTATGGAGAAACAACAGAACAAAAATATCACTTGTACCTAACACTTTGGAATTTCATTAAATGCAGTATTTATATTCCTAAATTCTTAAACCAACCATTGTTATTGTGATACTATAAAGATTTATTACATTTAGTACATGCACCGATAATGAAACTAATTTTGTACACTGTAAAAAATAATTATCACAAGTTTACACGCCCCAACAGCAAACTGTGTTATTCCAAGTCCACACGAAATCGTTTAAAATTTTAACAGAGAATCAGTGTGTTTAATATTTTAGCGTGCATCTGGAAGAGTGTTATTTTTATAAACATAAGGTAAATTTATAATTAATGCAAATGCTATTACTGAAAGCAGCATATATGACATTTGATAACTTCAGCCCGTGACTAAAACGCCATAAAGCCACAGCTTGTCAACGTGTATTTAAAAGGTAACTTAGTGTCATAGAAACATGTACGATAAAGGGCGTTATAAAGGTGGGATTTAAAAAACCTTAAAAATAAAAGTACTCCAGAAGGCTTTTCAAAATCTTTATTAAATATGAAATAAAACTTAGTTATCTAAGCACTAAAAATAGTCTCTTATCTGTTTAAAAAATTGTATATTTCAATGCCGTTTAAAAAATTACAACAATGCTTCGGGACAAAAATACTTTAAATTTTGTTTCGATAATGCATAAAAAATTTACGACTAAAAACAACTGTAATCTAAAGGAAACATACTCTTTAAACATGACATAAAAACAATGCTTTACACTTTACAATATGTTTCTAGTGACTTTTATCTTTTAAAGGATTACCATTTTAATAGTAAATTAAATCTAAATTAAAAATTATAACTTTTTAGAGATAAATTGGTAAAAAAAGTAACACAATTTACTTAAACTGAGCTCCCAGGGTTATTTTTACCATCGTTCAGTTCTCATACGTATCCCGCAACTGCACAGCATTACCCGAAATTTTTTCGCCGGGCTGGGCCATATACCCGATTTAGGCTAGTGGAGTGCGGGACAAAAAGGGAAAACATTTTGTTTTTTGGGGATAATAGACCCAAAACTAAGTAATAAAATTGGGGTTCATGAATGGGGCTTGATTGGTTAGTCCGCTGCTAGAACCTATCCTTGCTGGTCTTACTGGTAGTACTTCTTGTAGTGTCCATGTCTGCTGAAAATCCGGAAATTGTTTGCCACTCTGTGGCTAGTTATCCTAATATAATCAAAAATATATACTGGAAAAAAAATAAAAAACTGCAGGTGTACTTAGCTCTACTTACTCTGGAAGAGTTACGCTGTTAAGTACGTAAAAAACGAACTAAAAAAAATAACAATTTCATTTATTTTGTAAACACATAAATAAGTTATAACATTTTTGCAATTCACCGTCAAATATTTTTTTATATATAAATGAATATTTATATTGAATTGTTATTGGCATATAAATAGTGATAACGCTATTAACTTGTAAATAGTGTAATTTTGTTTTTAAGTAATTTAGTTCTCAAAAATGTATGCGATTAAAAACCTACCTCAAGTCATGAGACTTGAAAAAAATCAAGAATTTTTGGGTTACACATCTTATAGTATAACCAAACCCGGAGATAATCTGGGCAGTTCAATTTTCGGTATCAAAGTCAGGGTGAAAAATTTGGAAACTAAAAAAGAAGAATTTGTTGATGCTGTGGTCAAAACACCTGCTCAAGATGAATTAATACGGTATATATTTAACTCAGAAGTAACATTTAGAAATGAGATAGAATTCTACAGAAATATTATGCCGATGTTAACAAGATTTCAGCAGGAAAATAATATGGATTCTTCAGAATATTATGTTAAATATCTTGGTGCAAGATTGAATTTAAAAAACAATGAGGACGTTGATACAAACGCTGTCTTACTGATGGAGAATTTGGCTTTAGGTGGTTATAAAATGAAGAATAGAAAGGTTGGTTTTAACTTGGGTGAAGCAAAAGTTATTGTTAAAAATATGGCGGATTTTCATGCAACAACTTTGAGTTATAAGATGAAAAATCCAGAGAATTTTAACAGTAAAATAAAACCCTTTTTGGACGGTACGATTTTTGAATGTAGAGATGGTATCAAGGGTATACTATATGAGAAAAATAAGAACCTTGCTTTGGAAATTGTTGGTAATAACGATAAGGATTTGTTTGAAAGAGTTAAACATATTATTGAAGAAGATTTTCTTCCTGATGGAGAGTTATTTTCCACGATTTGTCACTATGATTTTTGGGTCAACAATATTATGGTAAATAAATCGGAATGTAAATTTCTGGACTTTCAAATATGTCGTTACTTATCGCTGATCAATGATTTAATATTTTTCTTATTGACAAGTGTGGAAAATGATGTTGTTGTGGAGAATTTTGATGACTTGATTCAACTTTATTACGATGTGTTTATTAACATTTTAAAGAAGTTTCAGTGTGATACAAGTCAATTTTCCTTTGAGGTTTTCGAACAGGAATTATCATTTTGCAGCAAAAGGGAATTTCTGCACTCCATTTCAATGCTCTTCATTATATTTGCCGACGTCAAACTACCAATGGACCTAAATGCACCGATTGAACCGTCTAAAAATCACCTAGAAAAATTCCACGTAATTTTAACTATATACCAGAAAAAAGGCTGGTTGTAAAACTTGAAATAAACGTTATTAAGTTTTGTTTGTTTGCTTTTTATTTGTTGAACACTTACTTGATTCGATTTATTTGGATGAATAATATATGTGCATTATTTGGGAATATTCTCTATTATGGGCTCCTCCTTATTTTATATGCCTATGACTGTATTTTATTTGTTATTTTGCTAAATTTTATAAAACTGAAGAATTTAAAAAACTATAATCCAAAATATAATTTTTCAATGGTAGATACAGGTTGTCAGCCAAAGTAAGCAAGTTGTTCCTCTATCACTTTTGCATTTATACTATGATCTAAAGTTTAAGCGGTTGGGGTCGACGGTCTAAGTAGAGTCGGCAAGTTGTTTATCTTTGATTCTTATCGGTACTATATAATGACATAAATCACAAAGCATTTTCTAAATTTTGTCGGTGGGTTTCCGGAGACAACCATATCAGTTATGCGTAAGTGCAAAAGTTATTTAAAAGAGAAAAGACGCACCCCTTTAAGGTGCATTTGTTGCAAGAATGTAGTGAGGACGATTTTGATCGTAGGGCTGAGTTTTGTGAATTTTTTATAGAACGTTGTGATCAGGATCTAAATTTCTCAAGAAAAATTTAATTTTAGGATGAGGCCACATTCATGCTGAACGGTTTTGTTAACCGTCACAGCTGTTCCCACTAAAACCTTTATTGGAAAAAGGAGAGACACACGGCACCCTCAAAAGGTAAATGTATGGAGAGGAATAATTGACCAACACATAAGAGTCAATCCAAACGAAAACACCAAAAATTAATTTAAAGTGCGTTGCATGATTTTTTATTTTAATGAAAAAATTTCAGGATGATCTTTTAGGTACCTATCATATATGAAAAACCGTTGCCGTTTTAATTTTTAGTTGCTTTATTTTTAATCGGCACCCTTTAGAAATCGTGTCATTTTCTTACTCTCTTATAAGAGGCTAAAACTTTTTTCTGTGGCAATCATTGACATGATTGTAATTTTATTTTACTGCCTAGTAAGTATGTTTTCAATATTAATTATTATTATCTAATTAGTTCATCTTATAAAAGAATGCTAAACCACTAAAGATTTGAAATAATTTGCCAATTTTTGTGATTTTTGTCTGGCTCCTGTGCCTATTCTGCTAAATCTAGAAAGTTGCTTTTTTCAGGTATCAAGTACTTATACAATAGAAAACTTAACTATTATTTTAAGTTTCTAGACTATCATTTTCATTATTAAAAAAATTATTGAAACTTGATAATTTTCAAAATTTGCCCTCAGAAGGAAAAAATAAAAATGTGAAACTTTCAGGAAATGTAGTCCCCATCTTCATCTTTTCAGTCTAGTTAGTCTTGTTTTGTTATTTTTATCCATATAAAAGATATAATAATTTTTTTAATGCAGTTAAGAAGCGATATTGTTAGTTTTATTTATAATTTAAAATTTAGATGGCTTTGACTTAGTCAATTCCTGTTTGGTAGTGAAATGTCAGAACTGTCAAAAATATTTCATAAATATGATTTCAAGTTTGCAAGTGTAATAATTGACGGAGTGTTCGAGATTCATGAATTTAATTGCAATTAAAAATTAAAGAACATATCATAATTTTGTACCTCCTTCTTAAGAAAATATTCAAGTTCTGAGACGTTTTAAATTGTTAAAAAAGCAAAAACCAAAAAATATTCTAAATAAACCCCTTTATTATAACATGCTTTATTTTAACCAGTTACCTAAAAACTAAAATTTAAAGAAGTATTTACCGATTGTGTAAATTTTTTTCCAACACTAAAATTTAAAATAAACACATATAACTTTCAACTATTCAGTGCCTTACTAAAGGGATCAAAATAATAGAACAAGACTAACTTGGTTTAAATTGTGAAACTGCTTAACGCATTTTTTATACGTTTAAATTAACTCTTTATTAATTTTACTTATTATACAAAATTTACCAAAGAAATACGCACAAATAATATTTATGAAATATTTTTGACAGTTCTGACACTTCTCCACCAAACATGAAAGCCATCTAAATTTTAAATTATAAATAAAACAATATTATATCGCTACTAAACGGGCATTACAAAAATTAATATATCTTTTAAAGGAATAAAAATAACAAAACAAGTCTAACTGGACTGAAAAGATGAAGGTGGGGACTACATTTCCTGAAAGTTTCAGATTTTTATTTTTTCCTCAACATAATGATTTCTGAGGGCACTAATATGCTCTTGACGCTTGAAGTGTAAGCATATCGTCGTTTATCTGACAAAGAGGCGTATCTCATTTTTAAACAAAACGGTGTGAATTGAATTACGCCAGTTTGTACGGCACACAAAATGCAAAAATATTAGTTACGCCGAAACTCCTTTATGCTAAAACTTTATTTGTACCTATTTATTATAGAGCTACGCCAGTTTGTGAGATTATAAAGTCGATTTTGGTGATCATTCTGGTATAACTCAAAAACGAATTTTTTTGAGTTACGCCTCTTTGTCAGATAAACATATTATGCTCATCGATCTCTCTTAAGCAGCGTATACGATACAAACGTAGTAACGTGATAACTGGTTAACGCCGTAAAATAATAAAAAATCAATCGATTCTAAACGTGATAACTGTCCCAAGTGCAAAAGAGTGCAAATTGTGTGTGGTACCTCCCCGTGGATTAAATCCTCAAGTGTTGGACCTGGTTAAAAGGTGTGAGAGAGACGATCACTTCCACGAAATTTACTGGACTACCACACGTGCGAGCGGCATGCGAAATGGATCAATTCCAGCACCTAATAATCAAGCTAAGTTATTTTTTCCAATTGCATGTCTTACCGTATATTCGCTAAATGTTTATAAAAGCATTTCACAATGTTTATATAAGCATTTCACAATGTTGCAAAAAGAAAATACTAAGAATTCTTTTATTGTCTCAAAAACTAAATTAAAAAAGAATAAGAACATTTCCTTAAGTTTAAACAAACAACCTCATTTTCTCATAGCAGACAAACATAAACAACCATCGAAAAAGGCGTAAGATAAATAAATAAATAAACCAAAAGCAAGAAGACAAAAAATAACATAAACAGGTTGTGTGTGAATAGCAGTGTTGCCAGATGTAAAAGTTGAAATTATCGAATTTGGTAAATAAAATTATCGAATTTTCGGAAATTAAGTTACAATAATTGTAATAATTATGTAACAATAATTATTATAATTTAATCATAAAAAAAGTGAAAGAGAAAGAATCGAATTTTTAGAAAATTATAAAATTTGTAAAAGTAAAAAAAATACCCCCCACTGGGAACTGCCTTATCGCAGCGATTGCGCCTTAAGCTCGGCACGAGTGATGGGCTCCTCCGCGGGGGGGTGCAGCCTCCCGTGGCCTATACGGGGGATGGTCTACACGGCGGTAGTCGTAGTACGATTGCCGTGGTGTGGATTGTCTTCCGGGAGGGCCGCGGGGGGTTGTATTTCTTTGCGGGGGAGTTTATCATGTGTGCCGATTATCGTACCAATGGGAAAAACCATTACCAAAAGGGTAAGAGTAGCCCAATTAAACACTGGGCCCACGTCACTCGTAGACAACGCAACAACATACTACAAGCCACCCTTAAACTAGATCTTAAAGACAAAAAAATCGGTAGACCATGCTTCACATTTCATAACACGTAGCACAATACATGCACTTCTCACAAAGTAACAAGACCAGTTGGGAGCAACTAAACAACAATAAAAATAAAATTAAAAAAAAAAAAAAAACAACCGACACACTTTACCAAGTTCAGGAACTATCCGACACGGATAATGACAATAATGAACAAGACGAAGACCTCGACTAGGAAACTACACCCCTGCAGCGTAATAACAACTCCCCAACTCCAAATAGTAATCCCAAATGTTTGGAGTAATACTAACCGACTGGTCTAGGGGGATTCCGCGTCGTACTTAGTTTTAAGTCGGCGTAATTGTCCCCCAAAAACAAACTCCCTCCCGTCCCTCATCCATACCTCACTGACCGTATAGCATAGGCCCGGCGGCGTATTGCGAAAAGCGTACTCATTTGGTCCCCGCAGTGGTGCTGAAACCGAGACGCATTACCCGTCTCAAAATCTGCGTAAAAACGTACCTAATTCGTCAACTGGAAGGGACCAACTAGAGACGTATTTTCTGTACAATTTTGTGCGTTTTTAAAGATAAAACCGTCTCCATTATATCCCTTTGATTGGGAACTATATTTTTATCGGCTTTATTTAAAAAAACACAAAAGGTAGGTATTAACAGTATACTGTTACTAGTAAATGAATGAAATTAGGAATTGAGAGAATCATTATGATTACTTGTTACTTTTTATTGAAGTTGTATAAAAATACAGCAAGAAATGCAGAACTTAACATTTAAAAAGAAACTAAAATAGGTAAAGGTGTTTAAATATTTAGTTTAACATCATTTATTGAAAATGTATACAGGGTTTTTCACAACTACTACGCAATTTGCATATGCTCTTTTAAATATTTTAATAAAACTTAAATATATTAATAAAACTTAAAAGTTGACTTATTAAAAAAAATACAAAGTCCAATAGAAAACCAAATAAAAATGTTAGTTACAAGAAAAGGAAAAACAATAGATAAATTATGCAAAACATTTTAATTATATATGCTCCCTTAAATATAAAGTCGATTTATTAAAAAATCTAATAAAAGTCTAACAGAAAACGAGATAAGAAATATTAAAGTTAAGTACAAGATTTTTTTTTACTTTCACATTTTTTATCTCGTTTTCTGTTCGACTTTTATTAGATTTTTTTAAATAAATCGACTTAATAATTAAAGAAGCATAATATTATATGGTGGAAAAATTGCGTATAAATTGAGAAACACCCTGTATATGTATATATATATATATTTAATGTTTTTTAGCGGGTGGTTGATTTAGTTTAATGTTTAGTGATATATTATGTGGTCGTTTTCTGGCTTTTAACTCAATATTACTTGGTCGGCCAGATTGTATCCTTCCTCCTGTAATATTTCTATTTTTTCTTCGAGCAATATCAGTTGGTTGTACCTTTATTTTGCGGCCTCGTCGTTGCGATATTTTATCGGAAATAAATGTTATAATTTGTGCAGGTGTTTGTAAATTTTCTAAAACTTTGATAAACTTGGAAATGTTGCTCATATTATTTACATTTATGTCCTTTTCAAGAACTGTAGTTATGCGTTTAAACTCCTTATTAATTTTATTTATCGATATAATCCTCTTTTGCTTTAGGATCTATACTTTGAGCAAAAAATAAAGGCTCGGAATTTTCACTAGGAATATTAGTGCTTTGGTCTTCCCCGAGTTCTTCACTAAGCCCCGAAGTCAGAATTTCATTTGAGACACAGCTTTTCTCGGACATGTCACTAAAAAATGAAGGTGGAATGTCCTTTCCTAGGGCCAGTTGCGCTAGTTCTTTCCGGTCAAATTCACTTAATAATAACGAGGTTTTAAAAATTACACCGTACTTCTCTTCAACAGCACACATGTGTTTGCAAAACAGCCGTTTCTGCCTCTAGGACAAGAACACGTAGCATTTATACTATCGACAGTATAGTATTCATTTTTTTTTCACTTTTAACATGGAAAACATCGTCACTAATTTTTATAATTTCCTGAATTTGTCTGGATTTTTCACAAAATTTTTCATAAGCTACAGTCAGTTTTCTTCGAATGTTTTAATTACAAAGTCCACTAACGCACACATGTTAAAAGCCTTACATCGCTGAAGAACAACATCTTTAAAAATTCTAATTGATGCCTCACAATAATTATTGGTGTTATGACCTCTATTCAAAAGCTGAGTGCGAAATGCTAATGACCATTCTTGGCGGCGGTTCCATAAATGTTGAAGATGTTTATTTAGTTTTTCATTACAGCTTACTAATTCTTGTGACAAAATATGTTTTATATAATCAGTTGCCTCTTGTTCCGTTTTAGCATACATTACACGCCGAAATTTATTCATTATAAGTTTACGATCATCTTTCTTAACATTATTTTCTCTTAACCATAGCCAACGCCACAGGGCTTGAGTAACATGAAAAATACATAATAGTAATGTGGCATTTGGAAATACAGCTTTAAGTGCATTTCGTTCCGCGGCGGAGTCATCTGTCATAACTTGAGGCTCAAATGTCATATTATATGACTTTTCCAAGCTTTCTTTAACTGCATTAAATACTAGTAAATAACTAATCTCACTTTGACTGGTATGTAAAGCCACTGCAACTGGCACGGCTCTTATTTTGGTTGGAGCAAAAATGAATGTTACACATGTATTGTTTTGATCGCACGACCCACTTGAATCAATAAATATTATGTCTTTTGTTAATCCAGCAAGAAAAACCCTTCTCATAATTGGCGTAATAATTACAATAATGTTCGGATTTTCTCGTAAGTACAGCTCTCCAAGATTACCAATATCAGCTTGCTTTTTTTTTAGTATTTGAAATGCGCTAGTCGTTTCTCTGTCACCAAAATTTTGTAATCTCCACTTTTTATACAAATAGTTTACTTGCGCGTCTGTTGGATTTATCTGAGCATTTGCTAAATGTACAAAAAGGTCATTTTCTATAGATTGAGTCATGTGCATTTCGTGAAAAGTTTTTGCCGAGGCGGAAGTCATTCCTGATTCAAAATACGAAATAAATAAAGATTTAGTTTCGTCACTACAGCGTAGCAAATTGTACGCTTGAGCCACTTGTAGCCGGTGTGAATGAAAATTTTTTATTTCAATACGTACATTTAAACCATCTCTCAATAAAACAGATTTTTTCTTCGTATGTACGGTTTCCTTTAAGAACTTAATGGTAATGCTTGCCAAGCAGTTATAATTGCGTATAACACCTTTTCGTTTAACAATTATTTTATTTCTCACAGAATGCTGGCAAACAAAACGTTTGCAAAATTCAAATCGAACAGCCTTAGAAACACGTTTTCTCATAATCCAGTTAGTTTTTGTTTTCTCAGAAAAGTTTTTTATGAAAATTTCACATTTTTTATCATAACTTTTACCATGCAATAATTTGCACTGCAATGTCACTTTAAATTTCTCACTATCTTCCCCTTCATATTGTAACAGAGAAAAATCCGAAACTATAGAGCTTACTAAGCTTTTACAGTATTCTTCGTTCATTATGTAATGATAACACTATTGTCTACTTCAAACCAATCACATTCCAAGTATATTTTTAATTTCTTAGATGTATTTACATGCTTTCTTAGATAAACAAACAAACTGAACAAATTAAGAACGTTTTGCCAACTCAAAAAACTGCAAGTCATTTCGTTTCTAAGGAGTCAGTCGTGCCGAAATGCAGACGCATTTATTGATGAACTAACTATAAATCTTGCAAGAAAAGCGTCTCTAATGCGTCTCCTCTAGTTGACGAATTGGGCACGCTTTTACGCAGATATTGAGATCGGCAATGCGTCTCGGTTTCGACACCACTGCGGGGACCAAATGAGTACGCTTTTCGAAATACGCGGCCCGGCGAACCCGGGAACGGCTATTATAACTATTCGCCTCTCGCTCTCGAGCCCCAAATAGGGGACAGTACGGAACGCAATGGACATTCGCACCCAGCAAACACGGGTGAAGCCGTGCAGTTGCTGGGGAAGAACAAAAATCGGCGTAAGTAAACATAGGCCTGTACGGGGTTTGAGAGTCAAGAGGAAATGGGGCTGGTTATACGTCTCTTATACTCATACTCATACTCATAATGATTTCTGAGGGCAAAATTGACTAATTTTAGGAATTATCAAGTTTCAATAATTTTTTTAATAAAGAAACTTAAAATAATAGTTACGTTTTCTATTGTATAAGTACTTGATACCTGAAAAAAAATAACTTTCTAGACTTAGTAGAATAGGCCCAGGAGCCAGACAAAAATCACAAAAATTGGCAAATTTTCATGAATCTTTAGTGGTTTACCATTCTTTTATGAGATTAAATAATTGGATAATAATAATTTATATCCAAAACACACTTACTGAACAGTAAATCAAAATTAAAATAATTTCAATATTTGTCACAGAAAAAAAGTTCTGGCCCACTATAATTAAAAGCCGATTAAAAGTAAAGAATCAAAAAGTTAAAACGGCAACGGATTTTTATATTTGATACCTAAAAGATCGTCCTAAATTTTTTTTATCAAAATAAAAATCAAGCAGCGCACCCCATTTAGTGTTTTTATTTGAAATGACTCTATTGTAATTAGAAAAAAGCCTCTTTTAAATTCTGTTGTAAAAAAGGGGGGGTTACTATTTAAAAAAATAGGATTTATTTTTGTAAGTTGGTAATGTCACCGCAAAATTTAAATTAAACTACCAAACAACTTTTATAAAAAATCATTTTCTTAAATGTCTCAAAAGTTACACTCAATATTCCCAACTTTTGAGCCACCCTGTATATATATATATATATATATATATATATATATATATATATATATATATAATATATCAGCAAACCCATAAATAAATCATTACAATATTGAAAAAAATAAAAAATATTCATATTGGCATTTAAATACTGATAACGATATTAATAGTTAAATAGTAAGTTTGCCTTTGAGTTATTTAGTTTGCGAATATGCATACAGTTAAAAACTTATCCCAAGTCATAAGGCTTGAAAAAAATCAAGAATTTTTGAGTTACACATCTTATAGTATAACCAAACCCGGGGATAACCTGGGCAGTTTAATTTTCGGTATCAAAATCAGGTTGAAAAATTTGGAAACTAAAAAGGAAGAAATTGTTGATGCTGTGGTCAAAACACCTGCTCAAGATGAATTAACACGGGGTATATTTAACCCAGAAGTAACATTTAGAAATGAGATAGAATTCTACAGAAATATTATGCCGATGTTAACAAGATTTCGGCATGAAAATGATATGGATTCTTCAGAATATTATGTCAAATATCTTGGTGCAAGATTGAATTTAAAAAATACTGAGGAAGTTGATACAAACGCTGTCTTACTGATGGAGAATTTGGCTTTACATGGTTACAAAATGAAGAATAGAAAGGTTGGTTTTAACTTAGATGAAGCAAAAGTCATTGTTAAAAATATGGCGGATTTTCATGCCACAACTTTGAGTTTTAAGATGAAAAATCCAGAGAATTTTAACAGTAAAATAAAACCTTTTTTGAATGGTAGGGTTAATAAAAGTAAAGATGGAATCAAGGGTATAATATATGAAAAAAATAAGGAACTTATTTTGCGAATTGTTGGTAATAACAATAAGGATTTGTTTGAAAGAGTTAAAAATGTTATTAAAGAAGATTATCTTCCTGATGGAGAGTTATTTTCCACGATTTGTCACTATGATTTTTGGGTCAACAATATTATGGTAAATAAATCGGAATGTAAATTTCTGGACTTTCAAATATGTCGCTACTTATCACTGGTCAATGATTTAATATTTTTCTTATTGACAAGTGTACAAAATGATGTTATTATGGAGAATTTTGATGACTTGATTCAACTTCATTACGATGTGTTTATTAACATTTTAAAGAAGTTTCAGTGTGATACAAGTCAATTTCCCTTTGAGGTTTTCGAAGAGGAATTATCATTTTGCAGCAAAAGACAATTTCTGCACTCCATTTATATGCTCTTCTTTATTTTTGCCGACGGAAAAAAACCTGTGGACATAAATGCACCGATAGATCCGTCAGAAAATCACCTTGAAAAATTACAGGTAATTTTAACAGTATACCAGAAAAAAGGTTGGTTGTAATACTTGAAATAAACGTAATTAAGTTTTGTTTGTTTGCTTTTTTATTTGTTGGATAAATAAAAGGGACCGTCTGCAGGAAAATTCAATTAGGCCTGGGGAGTGTACTCTGCCTTCTACCATTTTTATACGCCTATCACTTTCATTATTCGATTTATATGGATAAATAATATATGTGTATTACCTGGGAATTTTCTCTCTAATTGGCTCCTTCTTATTTTATGTGCCTATATCTTATTTTTCTAAATTTTTATAAAACTGAACACTTAAAAAAAACTAAAATCGAAAAGAGTGTTTTTTAATGGCAAACTTTTTACACATAGGTACAGGTTGAGTTATTTAACTTGAAACTTTGAAATAGGTATCTCAGTTAGTATGCATTTTACGAAAAAATTTTTAAAATAAAAATGAAATAATTCGAGGGGGGAAATCAATCAGTACTAAAATTGGTCCTCATACTCTCCTTCTTATAGGGGGAACAGGGGGTAACTTTAAAATTTTCAATGGAACACCCTATTATAGCAGATTCGGATCATTCGACTAAAAATAGATGGGTATTTAAAAAAATTAGATTTAATTTAATAAGATAATTATTACCAAAAAAGGGATATTTTTATAGAAAAATTATTGCAGAATCAAACAAAATTGTTTTTTTTTCATTACAGCGCCATCTATTACAAATAAGAAAAAAGTTTTAGAAAAAATCTACCTATTTTTAGTCGAATGATCAAAAGTCGAAAACGATTGGTAATAAGGCGAGTGACTATTTCACTAGACAATTTTTAAGTAATAAAATGTCATAGTAACGGCACGTTTTCTACTGACTATTTCCCTCGTCTTAATTTCCACCAATCACAAACGCGCAATTTTAAATTACAAATGGTTTCTAGGTGAAAAAACTGTGTGACAGCACCTGTCAGCAGTTTATTCGAGTTTACCCGCGGCAAAACTTGACAGCTGCTGTCACCAAATATTGCAATTTATATTTTAATTGTTAACTGTTACTCATGAAATAGTCTTGTCAAATACCATTCGGGATCAAATTTTTTCTGTGAAAAAAATCGAAAAAACACAATGCTAAGTAATATTTTTTAACAAAATGCATTCGTGCAGGTGCAAAAATCCTCCTCTTCGACTCGGATTTTTGTTGCCACCAGCACTCATGCTTTTTGTTAAAATATTACTTAACAACGTGTTTTTTCGATTTTTTTCGGAAAAATTAGATGCCCTTATGATATTACTTACGACAAAACTCCTGCCCGTGATTTCTCAGCGACAAAATTATGGTTTGGTACTTCTATTGTTGTCAGTTTGACAAACAATTAAATTAAAGTTGTTTTGACATTATTACAAATCCGTCATTTGTTTTATACTTCTATTGTTGCCAGTTTGACAAACGTCATTGTGAAATAATGAGTCCACGCGCAAATTCACGATTTGGGTGCCATTCAGATGAACAAATAAAAAAATTGGTTTCAGAAAATATCCCATTAAATACTCAGAGGTCCAGAAGCTCTATTTGGACCCAATTCTCAGAATTCCTACGGGTGAGAAATTTTACACTGGAAAAATGTACTACCGCGACGGAACTAGCAAAAATTCTGGAAGATTACGCCTTTAATATGAAAAAATGCAATGGCGAAGACTATAAAGAGTCGTCTGTAAAGTCTATGTGGAATTCAACTGCAAAAATGGTACGAGAAAAATATTTTACGGAATAAGGCATAAAAATCGATCCTTTCACGGATATATCTTTCAAATGTTCAAGATTGGCCAGAGATACCAAGCGAAGGCAGCTTCAAAGTTGTCCAGAAAAAAGAAAACTTAGTTCAAAAGCATTATCCACCGAAGAACTTTTAAAAATGATCCAAAGTTACGACGAAGAAACCCCCGATGGAGCACAAAAAAAGTTTTTTCACCTCTGCTTGCTTGGAGAGGCAATGAGGCCGTAAACTACAAGATTCACTTTTTCCAGAAAGAATTTAATAATATGGGAGAATTTACGGGCCGAATTAAATACAACAGCATTTTTTCGAAAACAACTCAAGGCGGGTCGAAAAGTTTGGCAAGCAGTAAATGGTTGGTAAGAAATTTATCAAACGAAGATTTATGCCCAGTTAGATTATTTTTCAAAATTAATGGAAAAAAGAGGACCAAATATTTTATCAGACAGACTTTTTCTTACCGTTCACCCCAACTGAAAGAATGGATCTTGGTTCAAAAACTATCCACTTGGAATCAACATCGAATCTAAGTGGACAAAGATGTCAGCTGAAAAAATTGGAATATTCACAAAAAAACATAAAATAACAAACCATTCGCATCGATATTCAGCTGTGTCAGCCTTGTTTAAGCAAGGTGTTGCTGAACAGGAGTTAATTAAATTAACGGGTCACTCAAATGCAAGCTCCCTAAAACCATACCTGCAGCTGGATTCTAGTCACCACCAGAAGTTGATCGAAAATCTCCGAACAACAAATGAAGCTGGACCTTCGAGTTCCCACATGCTACAGGTCAGGTCAATAATACAAAAAATCGTGCTTTGGTAGAAAATAACATATAATAATTGTACATTTAATACCTATTAACAAATAAATTAAGATTACATGTTTTGTTAATATGGTGCATTAATTGTCTTATTTTTTCTCGTGAAATAGTCTTGTCGAATATCACTCGAGAGAAAATTTTTACCGGCAAAATTTTATTCTGGTTTCATTCAAGTTTGTTGCTTTTTGGCAATTTTCGCTCATGAAATTTTGACTAAATCCATCAACTGACGTCTCGGGATTTTGTCAAAATTTCATTCTCGAAAATTGCCAAGCAACAAACTTTCATACCAGTCGAAAATTTTGCCGGCAAAATTTGTTCTCTTGTGATAAAAATCAAAGACAGAAGATAACAAACAAATAAAGAAATATTTACTGACGTTTAATTGTCAGAGATGATTGTTATTTGTTGATGACAACGTTAAAAAAGAGTTTCAACTTAAAATTCACCCTGTATTTACTTTTCTAATAATTAACAACTTAATTTGAAAACACATAAATAAGTCATGACAATATTATAACAAAGATAAATAAATATTTATATTGCAGTGTTATTGGCATTTAAATACTGATAACGCTATCAATACTTAAATAGTAAAAGTTTGCCTTGGTATTTAGTTTGCGAATATGCATACAGTTAAAAACTTATCCCAAGTCATAAGGCTTGAAAAAAATCAAGAATTTTTGGGTTATACAGCTTATAGTATAACCAAACCCGGGGATAATCTGGGCAGTTTAATTTTCGGTATCAAAATCAGGGTGAAAAATTTGGAAACTAAAAAAGAAGAAATTGTTGATGCTGTGGTCAAAACACCTGCTCAAGATGAATTAACACGGGATATATTTAACTCGGAAGTAACATTTAGAAATGAGATAGAATTCTACAGAAATATTATGCCGATGTTAACAAGATTTCGGCATGAAAATGATATGGATTCTTCAGAATATTATGTCAAATATCTTGGTGCAAGATTGAATTTAAAAAACACTGAGGAAGTTGATACAAACGCTGTCTTACTGATGGAGAATTTGGCTGTACGTGGTTATAAAATGAAGAATAGAAAGGTTGGTTTTAACTTAGATGAAGCAAAAGTTGTTGTTAAAAATATGGCGGATTTTCATGCCACAACTTTGAGTTATAAGATAAAAAATCCAGAGAATTTTGACAGTAAAATAAAACCCTTTTTGGACGGTATGATTTTTGAATGTAAAAATGGTAACCAGGGTATACTATATGAGAAAAATAAGAACCTTGCTTTGGAAATTGTTGGTAATAACGATAAGGGTTTGTTTGAAAGTGTTAAATATATTATTGAAAAAGATTATCTTCCTGATAGAGAGTTATTTTCCACGATTTGTCACTATGATTTTTGGGTCAACAATATTATGGTAAATAAATCGGAATGTAAATTTCTGGACTTTCAAATATGTCGCTACTTATCACTGGCCAATGATTTAATATTTTTCTTATTGACAAGTGTACAAAATGATGTTGTTGTGGAGAATTTCGATGACTTGATTCAACTTCATTACGATGTGTTTATTAACATTTTAAAGAAGTTTCAGTGTGATACAAGTCAATTTTCCTTTGAGGTTTTCCAAGAGGAATTATCATTTTGCAGCAAAAGGCAATTTCTGCACTCCATTTCAATGCTCTTCGTGATATTCGCCGACGTCAAACTACCAATGGACATAAATGCTCCGATAGAACCGTCTAAAAATCACCTCGATAAATTCCACGTAATTTTAACTATATACCAGAAAAAAGGCTGGTTGTAATACTTGAAATAAACGTAATTAAGTTTTGTTTGTTTGCTTTTTTATTTGTTGAGTAAATAAAAGGGACCGTCTGCAAAAAAATTCAATTACGCCTGGGGGGTACATGATTTGATTTATATGGATGAATAATATATGTGGATTACCTGGGAATTTTCTCCTTATTTTATGTGTCTATATCTTATTTTGCTAAATTTTATAAAACTGAACAATTAAAAAATACAGGTTTTCATGCCATAATTGCTAAATTTAATCATAATAGAGCTAAACTAAGTAGATATAGAAATGGATAAGTTGGATAATTAGTTTCCTGACATGTTCCAGTTCCAATTATCGAATTTCCCCGGCAAACTGTTTACACATATATCGGCTGTCTAAGGACAGAAACTTTTAATTGGACTTTTCAACTTTTGCCCACTAAACGCTAGGACGTGTATCAAATATTATTATCTCTATACCTTATCCTTTGCACTACTATACTTTACTACATTTATAAAGGTAAGTGAAGCGTCAATTTTCCGAAAATTCTAACATTTCATAAATATTGATCATACAAATTTTAATTTAATTAGTTCAGTGGCGGCAATTTTATAAGGGTTTAAATGATTGAAATGTTGTTAACAGAAGTTAAAAATTTAGTTATTTTAAAAAATATATAAAATATCATTTTAAAATTGCAAGGCTAGTTTCATATATTTATAACCTTGATCCTCCGAAAATTTAAAAATATTATGAAATTTTAATACAATTTTAATTTATTAAGAATCTTATTTCTATCCAATTATATATATTTTAATTTAAATTAATCAGCATAACATAGTTATTTATTATTAAAATAATTTAATATAATTGTTAATAATATTAAATCATACAAAATTAATATATATAATTGCAATATCCTACTGATAAATGAAATAATACACATTTATTTCAATAAATTTAAATACAAATAATGCTTACAAAAGATTATAATATTAAAACTTATAATAACAATATTGTATATAGGGCATTCCACGCCAAATCGGATGGTTTAAAAAAATTTTTTTTGATTCCTCCAATTTTTTTATATTTTTTAGTACTTCTTGAAAGAGCTTTCTCAGTAAATTTTGAGATTTTTTTGATCACGGGTTCAAAAGATATAAAATTTTCAAAAAAACTGCTTTTTTTTGGTTTTCGCTCATAACTTCTTAAAAAATGGTCCAAATCAAAATTTTCGTTCCATATAAAATTTTCGTTTTAAAATGTTTTTTTCGAAAAAAAATATATTGAAAATATTTGAAGCGTTTTAAGTCAAGATTTTTGAGTTTTAAAGTTTAAATTGTGTTTTTAAAAATGTGTCTTCTTCGATTTTCGCAAAAATTTTTATTTTCAACTTCTATCTATTCAACAACTTTTTAGCCTGGTCCGGTAGTGGGCCTTCCATAATTACTATTTTTTTTCGATTTTTCAAAATTAAAAAAAAAATTTGTTAAAAATTATTATGTTTCGAAAAAAAAATAGTAATTATAAATAAAATAGTAATAATAGTAATAGCCATTTATCCATGTATTTTTATCAACATTAGCTTGTTTTTTTTTGTAAAAATGTCAGCTTTACGAAAAAAATTCAAACTGGAGTTATTTGTTTGATTTAAACGTTTTCCCAGGACGATATGTAGATTTTCGACCTCAATATTTGCCATAAAAACGATTTTTTAAGTTATCAAAATCGCTAACATCAAAATACTTTTTCAATATCAAAAGTATATTAAAGAAAGTTTTATATGGTTTAAATCTTCAATTTAAGAGCTTGTTTGGCCAAATCGATCGATTTCAAGCTATACTCAAAAACGTCAAAACACCTCCAAAAATTAAAAAAAACAATTAAAAATTAGTATCTCAAAAATGCTTCCATAAAAAAAATGAGTGTGATTTTTGTGTTTAGTGGGTCAAAATAAATGGGAAAATTATAATGGGTATTGGTATTTTTTTCGATTTTGTAAACTAGTGTAATTTGAGTAGGTACATTCCCAAAGAAAAAGACTTTTCCCTACTACTTCCCTACTAAAGTTAAAAATTGATAATTTTTAATAAATAATTTGTTTTTATATATTCTATTTTTAACTATAAAATTTTAAATAGACAAACGTCTTATTTTACATTTATTACAAAAAAATAAAAAACAATCTCTATTAGTTTTAAAATAACAGCCATATAAATTTTTTGATTTTTTTTTTAAATTTTTAATACTTTATCCGATGCGTTGGATTTATAAAACAATGTATCTTCGTTAATAACAAAGATAAAACGTAAATAAAAAAACAAATGTTCAGAAAAGATATAGGAATATTATTCTAATTGACGCAAATTTCGGGAAAAACTTATTTTTACTTTTGCACCCTTTAGGGTGAAGTAGACAGTTATCAGACATAGTTTAAACAATTAACATTAAAACTGTAAAAAACAAGAGTTCTATAAATAGTTACCTTAAAGTCAAATCATTAGATGACGCTGTATACAATTATAACTATCTCAGTCGGTAATAATATAGAACTACTTTATTTTGGGTCCAATATAGGACAAAAAAGATCGCACGTTACTTTGGTGGTAAGATATTTGTTTTTTGTTAAGAGCAGGGCTGTGTTTAAATTACAATAAAAAGTATTTCTAAAAAGTGTACAGATCAGTGTGTGATATAAATGTGTTCCTCATGGTTTAAACATTATCACTTTAATGCGTTTTAATTTTAATTTTGAAAACAAACAGTAAAATGGCCAGTGTCCAATTACTGGTTGGTAAAAAATGTAAATTTCTATTATTGGACATATGTCTCTATTTGTATCCCGGACATCTACCAGCCAATTCTTATGTAAAATTGTCCCCTGAATCCGAAAAGACCGTCAAAAACTATAAAAGTTAAGCAGTTTTTGAGATAAAGTCAACTCCATATTATATGTAAAATTGATTATATTTCAAAAACTGTTCTAATTTTATAACTTTTGACGACATTTTGGGATTCAGCAAATAATATTTTATAGGATTTGACTGCTAAATGTCCTGGATACAAATTGCTGTTAACGAGCATTATTAGTGGCTGCTTTTTCGCTATGACATATTTGACTAATTCACTTTTAGAGAGTAAGTAATATAGTGATTTCTTCGTCACAGGACATCTTGCAGAATAACAGTGATTTAAATACAGTGCATGATAGAGAACATAAAAAGTAATGGCAACAAAATTAATAAATTCAGAAAATACTTTTAAAATACCACCCGAAAAAATATTAGATATATTTAAATCATCCTGTTCCGGCCTAAACATTATAAATGCTCCACAAACTAGAGATACCACACTTAATGATATTTGCAATAAACTATTTCAGAAGTCAGACCAAGTAATTAGTAGTTACCTTCAGAATCCAGAAAAGGGATGAGGAATCTGAGAAAGAAATGTATGAATTATATGATATTTACAAAAACGAAATAAAAAAATTACCTAAATCAGCAATTTATCTTTAAAAAATATTTGGCCGGTTTTTTTTTTCGGTGAGTATAATTTTTTGGGGCTTAAAATACCGATAATAAATTTTGAACAGTTTATGCCTACTAAATGCAATAAATAACTTCATTAATATCAGTCAATAAAGCATAAAACCAATTATTAAATATACAGGTTAATGTTTGCCTTTAATTGCTCATTGTACTATAAAATGCATTATATTGTTAACATTGTTAAACATTGCATTAATTCATATAATTTATACTTTCATTGTTCAACAAATTAAGCTCTTATATAGCCTGGGAAAAAGAGAGCAACTCGAACGAATGAACGAAATTTAACCAAAAATTTATGGCGGTCGTTTTCGGCAAAATTTGCAATTACCATATACTATGTAATACATTACGTTACACGGTTTATAGTGGCGAACAATGTGCGGAAAGTTGGGCATTACAGGTTTTACCTTTACTTCGTAAAATCGTTTAATTTTAATGCCCGCTGGTCCTCTTAAATGTGCTGACTTCTTAATATATTGATATTGCCTCTAATCTTGTAAAATGTTAAATATCTTTTAGGTAAAAATTACAGATTAAACCAAATATTAATAATTTACCATGATACAAATAAATAAAAAATACAGAACTAAAATATTGGATGACATATTAATATTTTAAATAAATACAGAAAAAAAGCTAAAATGTCATCATGTCAGTTGAACTAAATCTAAAAATGATGTGACAGAATCTTAAAATAGAAGATTGTTCTACAAGTACTATGCTCCACACCTCAAAGTCCCACCATGTGACCACGTACGGAACGCAGTCTTTTGAAAATTTGACATTTAAGGCTTTTCAGATTATGTATCTGTCAAAGTATAGTCAACGAAAGAAATAATATTATGTTTAGGCGTTAAAAATGTATAAATCTTTATAACATTACAATAACAATGGATGGTTTAAGAATTTAAGAATATAAATGCATTTAATGAAATTCTAAAGTGTATGGTGCCAAATAAGTAATATTTTTGTGCATTTGGTCCAAATATCTGGTTTTTTCCATAAAATAATTTTAAGTTATTAAAAAAAATTTAGCTTCTCTATTATGGAATAAGAATATCTGTATTAAAGGTAGGTTAATATATTATAACAAAAATATCATCTAATTTTGTAATTATAAGTTAGAAAAATTTATTTTGACCAAACTAAATAAGGATTATTTAAAAGACTGTATAATATGGTATTTAAAAATGTGGTAGTTTTTCTTATCCAGCTTAAAGTGTACCTACATAAAGTTTTGTCAATACAAATAGTTAAAAAGCTTCGACTGAATTTGATCTACATCAAAAAATCATTAAACTTTAAAAATTTTAATAAATCACATGTCATGGGAGTATTAAATATTTTCACATTGGAAGTTTCTCTAAAAATTGTTTGTTTTCTTATAATCTAACTTAAAGTAAGTATGCCAAGAGGTATGCACAAGTTTTGTCGTTAGAAGTATAAAAGCTTCAATTTAATTTAAACTATATTCAACAATTATT